TTCTCTCCCCTCCAGACATATTAATGACACTTCTCTTCTTTACCATCTGCGGCACCAGCTCCTGGCATATTATAGATGTGCATGTCTCAACTACGTGGGAATTATTCAAAAACCTGGTCTGAATTAGTCCAGTTCTAATTCTTCAGCCCTGCCCACACAATGGGAAAATTTTCACCCACAAGCCACAAATCTCCAGAAGTCATGGTATTTTGAAAAGTGCTATGCAAAGGATGAAAATCATGAATAGCCCCATGGTGAAACACATCCAGCTCTAATGGATAGCACTGCATTCAATCAATGTGGTGTATAAAAATGACAAATGGTATTCACCCCCTACATTTAGATCAGCAATTTCCAATGAGGAAATCCCCCCCTCAATTACAGGAACTTTTATTACCAATTTGCCCCCTGATGAAAACAACCTATTTAGGAAAAGAACACAGGATAATACTCTGGGTGTTTGAACACCAAGATCAGAGTATAGGGATTCTCAAATGATGAGTCAGGAACCCCTCAGAGATTGCAAGTAAATTTTGGGAGGAGATTCAATTAAAAAAAAAAAAAGGCAGATCAGGCTTTCCAAGCAAAGTGGCAGCACTGTCAAAATTTGCTCTTCGTTAAGTAAACGGCTTTACTACAAACAGTGAAGACTCTTGTGTGTGCTCCTTCAGTGTTGATTCATGGTGGCTGCCTGGACAAGTCCCTTTAGGTATTTTTGGCAAGATTTTGGAAGTGGGCTGCCACTGCCTCCTTCCTAAGGCTGAGGTAGAAATACTGCCCCCCAAGGCCACCCAGTCAGCTCTGGGCCTCAGGCAGGACTAGAATTTCTGGTCTCCTTCTAGTCTGGTGCCTTAACCATTACACCAAACTGGTTCTAAGGACTTTGTGATACATGCATTAACATTTAATTATTTAAAAAAATATTAAAACATATTTCATCTCCTGCATAGATTTATTCATGAAAACTCATTGTACAAAACTGTTTGTGATATTAGAGGGTTATGGTATTTATAATGGTATAAAATGAACACAGCAGATTCACTGAGTCAAAGACAAAAGGAACACTGATGAAACTATTCATGGTTTTTCTTGCCAAAATCATCTTGCCCCAACAATGCTGGGAGATCCTATATGCTTTTTAAAAGAAAAACTTGGCTATTATATAAGAAACAAGTGGCAGAAATCTGAGATGAAATAATAGGGAAAACAAATCAATTTAACAAAATATAACAATTTAACAAAATATAACAAAGAGAGAGAGAGCAGAATATATCTGGATTTCCAGTAAGCTCTGACAATACATACTGAAGACTGCAAAATTTGTAATATTGTTTGAATGTTTATTTTGTAAGAGCTATCTGTATTTATTTTTTTAAAAAAATCAAATGCAGCGTAGCAAAGAAACATATAGAATGTCAATTTCTTAAAGTGAAACTGTATATGTAAAAAGAGCAGGATATGAAGAGTATTGACAGTTTTGAATGTTGGAGAAAACTCCTGAGAATACCATAGTCAGTCAAGAAAATAAGCAAACGGATCATTGAACAAAGCAACCCACAGTTCTCACTCAAGGCACTAATGATCAGGTTCAAATTACCCTACTCTGAACTAGCTCTCTGGAGAAGGCCCTAATGCTGGAAAAGGTGGAAAGAAAGAGAAGACGAGGATGAGCAGGGGATGGACTTAGCCACAGTAATGATTGGTACATCTTTAGAAGACCTAAAAGACTAGGTTAGGGACAGCTCATCATGGAAAAAATTCATCCAACTGGACTTGATGGCATATATGGTGATGTGTGTATCTATATTCTTATAAATAAAATGCCAAGCAGTCTGCTAAGCAAATTATACAAAAAGATTGATAAAATTTAAGTTCTGTAAGATCCTCTTTCAGGAAGAATTGCATCTAAATGAAGGGTTGGCAAACTGTCTTGCTTTTATGGGTCATTCCTTGAGAGTCTACCACCTGGGGCCAATTTTCACAAAGTGA